AGGGTGGACCAAATAATAAATTAGTCGACTGAATCACAAATCGTATCGAATATTTTGACCGCTACATTGGAATTGTTTACGGTTGTTAATTTAAATTACTTTTACTACGAATTAAAATTATATCTTAGAAAGGGATATTATATACGCAATGAATAGTCTTGGCAAAAATGACATTGACTTTCTAGCTGTTTATGCGTTAGATAACATCGCAATTGTAAATGCCTTTGACATCGTTTAAACTTTCGTTAAGAAGAATATGTTAAAATTTACTGAAAATGTATGTTATTGATAATTAGTACGTCTATATCGTCTGTTGAAATTAACAACAGTTTTTAAAATGTTTATTTTTTTTCTATATGTTTATGATTTTAATAGCTACCTAACTATTTGTAATAATATTTTTGCATGTTCGATGTTGATCCCTGATCTATTTGCAGTCAGAATGTCGTTACTTGATCAGTTGTAAAGGATTTGTCAGTCTCTTGAGGATATTGGTATTAGAGATTCTTGTCAACAACTGTTCTCTAGTTACCTCACAGGAAGGTCTCAAAAAGTCAAAGAGGGCGAAGAAATCAGCATGGAGAAGGAAATAAAGTATGGAGTTCCGCAAGGCCCTGTCTTCGGACCCATACTCTTTAACATATATATAAATGGATTATTCCAATTGAAAACTAAGGGCAAAATTATTGGATTTGCCGATGATACAGCCATCTTTTACAAAGAAAATGATTGGTAACGTTTAAAATTAATTGCAGAGTCTGATTTTACTCTTATTTCAAAATGGTTACAGCACAAATTACACTAAATATAGAAAAAACAAACTATTTACCTTTTAGTTGTAACTCAGTAGGACTTCCAAATTTTAAGAAATTGTGCATTGCTAGTGGAAACAGAGAATTGATGATTCTACCTGTTAAACAAATAAAATATTTAGGTATTATTATAGATCCTCACTTAAAATGGGACTTACATATATTTTACACATTAAATAAATTGAGACTATTTTATATAAATTTAGAAAAATTAAAGAAGTCTTACCTCCACAACATTTAAGAAAACTGTATTATTGCACTTGTAGAAAGTCATCTTCGATACGGAATGTGTGCCTGGGGGGCTGCCTTTAAATCCCATATAAAATGCTTAGAAATAATTTAAAGAAAATTTCTTAAAATAATGTGTGATAAACCCTCTAGATATCCATCTGATTCTCTTTACTTGGAAACAAACATACTCGACTTGAGACAATTATATTTTATGCACGCCTGCTCCTATTACCATATAAAATGTAAAAATTCGGCAACTGTTTCAGAGCATAATTATTATAATACTCGCCAGAAAACAAATTATATAGTTCCTCGTATGATAAAAACTTCTACGCAACATACGTTTACATTTCTAGCGCCGAAACTCTACAACACCATACCATACATAGAAATTAAATCTATTTTAAGCAAATATCTTTAAAAAAAAAACTTTCCAAAGTCCTTTTGAGTAATACATTTAACATCCTTCCGCAGTGCTAAATTCATATTCTGATCCATTCTGTGTAAGTTTTATGTTTTTTGAATATTATGTTTATATTACTAAGATAACATTTTACTATAACTATAATTAAAATTATCTATTTTTATTGATGTTATTGTTATTATTAGAATGATATTGTTATTATTAGATAGGCATTAAAAATAGAGCAAACAATCATTCATGTAAAACTTATGTAATAAGTTTTACAATAATTTATGTTTGTTCGCAATCTGTGAAATTACATATATTTTTGTTATTTTTTTTTGCCGAAACAAGTATCTTTATGCTTATCGGCTTTTAGCTTTATTTATTTTATAATTTTCTTGTTATGATTGTATACATTCACTATGGTTTGAGTAAAGCTTATTTTATTTATAAAGGAGTTGGACATTATTTGTCCCTTGTCCACTGCGACCTTTTCGTATCTATTGTGGGACTACGTTATTTAGAGTATGTCGTAGTTTGTTTGAAAATGAATGATAGCAAAAAAGATAAACCCCAATATAACATCATAAATCAGTGACGGAGAATTTCTAAAATAATATGTTTATCATTATTTGTTCCAAATTAAAATCTTTGGTTTTCTTTCTAAAATTTTTAAAAATACCAATTTATTTCAATTGTTGTCTTAAATTTTGTAGACATTTTAATCAAAAATAGCAAGATAAGTATGTAAGGTAAGTATGTACAGGTAGAAAATATTTACAATTTAAGATCAATTTAAGTAGCCCTCAACTTTCTTAGAAAAGATTAAAAATTCAAATCGGCAGAAAGTTATACAGATTGTAAATTATTTTAGTTAAGATTTACATTTCTGTTTGTTTAGTCATGTGATTGTAATACGCAGAATTGTTAGTTCTGTAATAATAGGCGATAAAAAGCGATATTGATTAAGTAAATTTGTGCAACAAAAATGGCACAAACGTCTAATTAAAGTGCAATTTAACCATGCATATGAAAACTTTAGTGTTAAATGTACATGACGCTCTTGTACATGAACCTTTCAATTGTACTGTTCGGAGTATAGTTTCTGAGTGTTCAAATATGACCGAAGTTGGAGAAGCATCCATTTAGACCTATGAAGTAACGAAAGTATGGCAGTATTACAGTAGCACCTAATACGTCATTTATAGAGACGAAACTTTGCCAAACGTTAAAAGAAACACATTGTGGAAAACTTTACATGAATTAGACTTCGTTTGGAAGAAGAAGGATAGAAAATCTGTGCTCAGACAGAAAGATGAAATTATTTGTTAGAGGAGGCAATATTTAAGGGAAATTAGAAAATTAAGAAGAGATGACAAAAATATTTTTTATTTGAATGAAACAGTTTGGCAAGATAAACAGATTACAAATGCTCGTCAGGAATTTATAAAAGGTTTATCTACTGGCTTAAAATTTCCAAATAAAGGTCGCCGTTTACTTATCACTCATATTGGAGGAGATAAAGGATTTGTTGATAGACGCTTGTTAGAATTTGTTTCAAATTCTACGAAAGACTATACCATGAAGAAATGAATGCTAATGTTTTTAGCAATATTTCAGTCAAATGATAGATTTATTATCAGGATTAAAGGAATCGTTACCTAACATTAAATGGAAAGAGCAAGAACTCTCTAATTGGCTAATAACCAAAGAAATAGTGGCATAAGAGGGATTACTCAAAAAAAGCTATTGCAGTTATGTAAAGAACATTCACCAAAATTTAAGAAGTAAAGTATAGATCAAATAGCAAAAGAACATGGAGTTAAAGTGTGAACTTAACCCCATTGAACTAATCTGAACTTAAATGAAGGAATACGTGGATAGACAATACAACATCTAAACTTCTAGATGTTCGTCAACTATTATGTGACTCCATATCAAAAAGTTCCCGGATAATTGGCAAAACGCTATAAGACATGCCATAGCAGAGGAAGAGAAATTCTGGAAACTTGATATGTTAATAGAGGAAACAATAGAATTAATTATTTCTGTGAGAAGTGAGGAAACTAAAGATGATGACTCCTTATCGGGAGAAAACGACTTATTTATTTAGGTATGTAACTCAATAATTATATTAATTGAATCGTTTATTTCAGAAAGGGACCAACTAACATTTTCGGCATTTTGAGTTTTTCAGCTCGTTACATTATTTTAAGGTAAATGCATCTTTTAGTGCAGAAAGACACCATCTTCCGTAAATACAGTGCCCGTAAATTCGATCTAATTTTGATCATTTATTTGAGAAAGGTATCAAGTGACATAGTTCTCAAATAAATGGCTACTAGCACCATCGAGGTTTATTTTAGCATCAACGCCATCAGCTGTCAAGTAGAATATTATATTGTCATAATATTGTTGTGTCAAAGCGTATATTTAAAGTGAGGTATTTTTTAGCGAGTGTTTGGTTTAAAATATTTTCGACTGTTTTAAACCGTTTAAATTTTAGCGATGCAACTATGACGTCACTTACGAAATATTTTAAACCAAAGCTAAAATTTTTGAACCAGTTGGAGGCATATGGTTCAATAACGGTTGACACATAAGAGATTCTGATTTTGGCTGTTGTATGTTGTTTTGCTCTATTCCATCCTGGAACATTTCAATATATTTGACGTTTTGTTGATTTTTATTGATTTTTGATAACTTCATACATATATGTGATTCATATTCATACATTAATTGGTTATAATGTTATAATACAATTATTAATATTTATGGTCATCATAAACAGTTGGACGATGTGATCTACCTGTAGGTTACCCTTGATTATGAAACAATGTTCCAATTGAAATAAGGTTAAAGGATTACTTATCAGTTGTACGTTTTTTGCAAAAATAATTACGTAGTTTGCTTCAGATTCTGAATTTGCCAGCAAATATATAAAAGCAATTAAACGTTCTTTGGCAGTTGATGAACTTTGGAAAAGCCCAAAAAATCTACAGCAAATAATCGTTAGATAATCGCGTATCATAAATATATGATGCCATGTTAATTGACAAGAAAAATACCAAAAATAAAACAGTAAACGACATTTCAGATTGCAATGTATTAAAAATCCACCAATTTTTAATTAAAATCGCTATCAACCACTTATCTTCCTTCATCTGATTTAAAATAATCATTAAAAAAATCAATTCATTTTTTAAATCGACTTTGCTTCTCCTTTCTAGAACTTATTTCAACCGTTAATCCATCAAAAAATAATACGATCGAAATCAGTATTTACAATTTTGTCATATGACAGTTAGCAGGTTATATTTTTAAAACAATCTATTTTTGCCATCTATTAATTCATGACGTCACTTTAAATATGGTTTAAAAATTATTTTAAACCAATGTGGTGGCTAAAAAACAGCTGTGTTCTCTAAGAAAATAAGAATTATAAGTGATACCAACGATACCCAGTCTGAAAGGTGAGTGGAAGAAACAAAGAAAAGAAAAAGAGGGGTTAGAAATGACGAAAATTATAAAAGGAATGTTATCAAAAGGTGTAGAGTTCAGGGGAAGGCTTACGTAAATTACAAGGAAAATGCTGTAGGATTTATTTTATCTGACACAACTAACAGTCAGTATTTTTGGTATACACAACTGTAAGACTGGCAAGTCATTCTTTTATATTTACCATGAAGGTGCCAAACAAGGTATGCTCGTTCCTGTCGGACTATATTCAACGTGAAATTTCAGAAAATGTCCAGGAATTATGTCTTTATAGTGATAATTGTCCCAGACAAAACCAAAATCATACCATGATAAGCATGTATGCAGCATCAGTTGAAACTAATAGATTTAAAAACGTGGAACAATTTTTTCCGATCAGAGGCTTTGGTGTCATTAAACAACGTTCAAAGCGATTCAATCATATATTTTCTGTTCACGAATACACTGAAATAATAATAGCTTCAAGTGCGCAGAAAATTTTTACTGTCATGGAAGTTTCAGGAGAAGAAATCAAAGATTTCAAGCAATGGTTGCTCAAATTTTATAAAAAAATGTTATGTCTCTGGAAACTTCAAACAAAAAAATCCCCAGGGTACAAAAGCAACCCTTTTCTGTATCGCAATTTTGCCATTTTCGTTGTAACTCAGAAACTCCTGGCTATGTCATGTGCTCAGAATTTATTGGAGGTCTGACGAACCATACTTTTAAGATCCATATGCCAAGAAATGTCGAAAGAGTTAGAATGCCTGAAAAAGAAACCCTATCAAGAGAAAGTTCCAATATTGGAAACAGAATAACGGATATCGGTAAAGCGATGTCATACGTTCCAGAGGAATATCACCCATTCTATCAAGAAATTTTGGAATGGCCTACAAAAGTTTCCAAAAAGAAAGCGATTGCATTACAAGCTTAATACAAGTTATGTTACAGTTTTCAATAAATCTTTAATGTTTAAACATTATTATTGTTTTAATTGGGGGTAATTCTTAAAAAAACAACCCACTGTTTAATAGTTCAGTGATAACGCCAAGTTAATTCCTTAAAAAAATAATATTTTCCATTTATTTGAGAAAGGTACTAACTGCATTTTTTTGTAATCTAATTTTTTTCGTCATTATTAAAAAAAAATCTGTTTTAGCATAAAAAAACATCTAAGCAACTCTATATTGAACTAATTATGTCAAAAAATAGCATCACATTTTATTAAACAACAAATAAGTTTTAACTCATTTTCACAAAAGTAACAAAATGTTAGTTAGTTCCTTTCTGAAATAAACGATTCAATTATAATAAGTTTATATGACTCTATTACCCGAAATACAAACAAATTTCTAAAAACGAAATATGAGGGTTTTATGAGAAAATATTTTTTTGCAAAGAATTTTATAGTATATATAAATTTGGTTGTGTGTATATTTATTAGTAAATTTTATGGAAATGTCCTAATCTAATTATCTAGTATACTATTTTTATAAAAATAAATGTTTGCTCATTTACATTTTATGATGTATTGTATTCGAGGTTTTCCGGGATGGTCATACTAAAATCTAGTGAAAATTTAGATATGAAGTTATTAATATTTATTTTTTTCTGCTTTGAACAATCCTATATACAGTGTGGGTGATGAATTTTAAAACCAAAGTGACTAATAATATAAGAGAAACGGCAAATCTGGCAACATTGTGTGACGGCCCGCCCCCAGGCCCCCTCTTCTTTTGATTTGTTCTTCTTGTATTTTACTTTACTCTCTTTGAAATGTTATTATTTACCTCACAAGTTTTACTTTAAATTCTATACTTACTGTAATTTGGCCTTTTTCCTCTAGTAGTAGAAGTGATCGTCTAGTTAATTAATTGATATTTTATGTACCCACGTTGTGATAATGTTAATTAAAGTAAACCAGAATTCGATGCAAAGTTTGGTGCAAATTGATAAATAAAACATACAAATTTATATTTAAACTCTTTTTATTTTTCATACTTTAAATGTGATGCAATAATTAGCAAAGTATTTTACAATTGTTACCATTTACTGAGATCTCACTTGAGTCCCGTTCAAACGCAGACCATATTCATTTGCTATCAATATATATCCTATTTAGGTTGATGACCAACAGAGTTAACAAACAGCGTCAATTCGCCAGTTGATTAACTATAGTGTTGTTGTTTATATTCTGATTTAGGTTGATGACCCACGAAGTTAACGAACAGCGCCAATTCGCCAGTTGATTAACTATTGAGTTGATGTTGATTTGATTCTATTGTAGATATATACAGGTTGCACCCTCTTAGGTAAATATTACGATGAGTATAGAGGTGTGACCAACGGAAGTAACAAACAGCGCCAATTCGCCAGTTGATTACCTTACTATGTTGATTTCACATATACTTTGTTTCAAACCTTGTAGAACGGGTTGCTTAGCGTATAGGTGTCCCCCCTTGAGTTAACGAACAGCGTATTCGCCAGTTGGTTAACTTACTATTAAATTTTACCATCTTGGTTTGTACAATTTATCCAAGATAGCACAACCCTGTATATTTCCAAAATATTGATCTTTATAATTTCTATTGATATGACTTAATACAACCCTGTATGTATTTTAATATTGATTATTATAATTTCTATTGAAATAACTTAATATAACCCTGTATATTTCTTAATATTGATTTTTATTATTTCTATTAAAATATTCCAAATTTCACCCATCCAAAACAGATGTTATCCTATCTTTCGGGGTGTATGACCTGAAGGCCATGTGGTTTATTGGTTAAATTGATAATATTTTACAGCAAATGTCAAGCCGCCCTTAAACGAAACCGGGGTGGTATCTCAAAGAAGGTTACTAAATCTTTTGACTCACCATTGAAAATACAGACATTAAATTATGTACTAATTTCATCTAGCGTCGTGGAAGGCGTCGATGTAGGTACGTCGCAGGGTTGGGCGTCGAGGCGTCCATCGTCGAGACGTCTAGCGTCGTGATGGAAGGGAAGGTATTTAATACGGTACTGTATTGGGACAGATATACGGTAGAATTAAGTAGGTGATGCGGGACGTGATATTATGAAGGAAATAATTATGGACGGCAAAGCGTCGGAAATAAGGCGTGGGACGTTGAGCGTCGAAATTAGTGTACGGTAGGAAATACTTAGATGGTGAGGAATGTGACAGCGTTCGAGACGTAGGGAGTAGGATGGCAGGAAGTTGAGCGTCGAGACGTTGACACCGTCGGGGATAGGAGGTATTGTAGGATAGACGTCGTTTAGGAGGAGCGTTTAGGAAAGGTACAGACTATATAACTGGGTACAGATAATAAAATGTATGCTTGCACATCAAATGATAAAAATTGAATGACCGCGAGCTCATTTTCGTCAGACTTTTTATACACAGTTTAATCGTTTATGTGACGTCTCTATCGTTTTGTTTCTCATAGAAAAAACGAATGTAGGTGCAAAAGGGGGTGGGTTATTTATTACTTGCCTTGAAAGTTTTGTGTATCGAAATATTGTCGATATCGGTCTGAACATCGAAACTAGGAAAATAAGCGACTTAAGTGTTTTAATGATAATTACTTCGTAAACAGAAATACACTTATGGTGTTTTCTTTCTCGAGGAACTCAGCCACGTGCATCTTTTACGGACGTGTTTATAGATATTATTTATTAGGTGTCGTAAATAAGATTTAATTATCTGGGAGATTTTTTTCGTTAAATGAAGCATTTTGAATTTAAAAGAATGGAACATTGTATTTAATAAATGGAATTAATAAATTATTAAGGTACCTGGGTGCGGTAGGTTACAATTGCAAATATCAAATCTGGAATCACCGTGTCCCAAAATAGGTGTACTCCAAATTTTGTACAACTAGGATTAGCAATTTACGAGATAATTGGCCGTTTTCAGACTTTTGGGCCACTCTGTATAGTACACAAATAATACAAAAATTCACAAATAATAAAGAAATAGTAGACCTTTACACTGGCACAGGACACATATTGGTTTCCTTTTCTTCTTCACAGAACCTGTATAATATTACTTATTCTGCTGGATTGATGACACTTTGTTTTTTGGTTTTTTGTTTTTGTGTTTTTTGTTTGTTTTTTTGTTTTTTTGTTTTTTTTTGTTTATTTCTTTATTATTAGTTTTTAAATGGTAAAGAAAGTTAAAAAATTAAATAAATTATCAATGAAAATTGATAAAGTTATCGTACAAATACACGCAGTTTTAAAATTCTTGTACCACCCTGTATTATTCAAAAATAATATATATCTAAATATTTTTTTTCTGACGATAAGAGCAACTTATTTACAATTTGTTTCATTTTAATGCAAGAATTTAATTAATATTTAATAGAAGAGTTTCAAACTTAAATAAAAATAATCCTAATTCTAATATTTGGGGTTGCAAGACTTTTAACTCTAGTTAATTTATGTACAATGTTCACCCTATATGCTACCGAGTGACTCACATACAGATAATCAATATTTAATTAAGTCAGCACTACCAAAATACAGCCATGTGTAAATTTGCCAGAGAAAGGCCAATGGGTTGTTTGATTGTTTGGTATGGAAATAAATACTGACAAGTCATGCAATTATTTAACAGAAATATGTAACCCACTAATATTTTATAATCAGATTTAAATTTTAAGTGTTTTCTTTATTTTACTGTGTTTTAATTCCGAACAACTTGCTTATTTTAAAAATTATAAATAAATAGAAGTAGAATTAAATGTTCAAAACTTATTGAAACCAAACAAAGATGGTGCCTGTAGGATGTGGTTTTCATTTTTACATATTTTACGTAATTTACTTATTTTGTAGCATTAAAAGTAATATCAATCGAAATTAGAGAATTCCCATTTTTTATGATTTAAATAAATCACATTTTTTCATGCGAGTTTTTTATTTATTTATTTATTTTATTTATTTATTACAAAACTCTACAGGCAATCCCAATTACAGAGCAGGAATAAAAGAAAATATACATTATGTGTGGCACAAAATATATAAAAATTTGTAATCAGCTAGTACAGTGGTCGCCAACCTGTCGATAGCGAGCTACCGGTAGCTCGCGGAGGCAATTCTGGTAGCTCTCACAACGATTTTAATTTAAAAAATACAAACTGCAAAAATCAGAGAAGCTTTCGAAAATTCCACAAAAAATCTAATTGTCATAATATTAAACATAAACAGCGGCAACGTTGCGGTGAGCGATCTGCCGCTGACGCCACAAAGCTAGAATCGGCTAGAACTGACCAGCCGGACCAGCGCGTTAGTGTTTGAGAACGATCAGGATTGCTTTGAACGGGATAAATACGCACGGCGCGGCGACATTGCGCTTAGTTTAAAACTGAACGCGTAACTAACGTCCAGCGGTTGGGTTAGTAGAGAACAACAAAAAATAATATTATGTAAGAAGGTAAAGACATACCACTTTCATTCGGAATGAGAAGAACAATACCTTTTTACAGAAGTTAAAGATAAAAATGTGTGTTTGTTATGTAATACTCCGTTGCTAAAAAAGGAAATATTGAGAGACATCATGAAACTGTACATTCTAATTTTGAAAAATAATTCCCACTACATTCTGCCGCCAGAAAGGAAAAACTGAAACAGTTAAAAAAGCAGTTAATTGGACAACAATCAATATTTTTAAGAACAGTCGACAAAAATAAGGCTGCAACTGAAGCATCGTACCGTGTGTCCCAGATAATTGTACAAAAAAAGAAACCTTATAAGGACGGGGAAATGATAAAACAGGCGTTTTTAGAAGCTGCTGATTCGTTATTTGCCAACTTTAGAAATAAAGACTAGATAGTTTCAGCTATAAAATCTATGCAACTTTCTGCTA